TTCAATAAAAAGTGCCATGTATCTGGATAGATGATATTACACTGCAAGTGGTTCTTCCAAAAACTGTATATGATAAATCTAGACATGTGATAAACATGAACCATGATCGTATAGTCAGTCTACTTGGTAGAATGAAGCAATCTTCGTCAACTCAAAAACAAAAAAAAAAGGATAAAAAGTTCATTACATACGAATCTAAGATCAATTTGGTGCAACCTGTATAAGTATTTCCTCCTAATGCAGCTCGGTAAGCATATTATAGGGTCAAAAACTTACAAAGTTGACCAGACCACACACTAGAAAGTGAAGGGACGACGACGTTTCGGTCCGTCCTGGACCATTCTCAAGTCGATGACTTGAGAATGGTCCAGGACGGACCGAAACGTCGTCATCTCTTCACTTTTTAGTGTGTGGTCTGGTCAACATACTTCAGCCACATTATTGTGACTCCTCGCCTGCTTACTTACAAAGTCGTCCTTCTTGGCTTTTGCTTTAGGAAGAGCCCAGCCATACTCTTACAACTATCAATGCAGATAAAGTTATGACAAAAAATTGGAATGGAAACGATGGTTTAAAAAAACCAAACATGCCAATAATAATATTATAAGTGCTAATATATATATATAAATGTATTGTGGCTAGCAGATGTGTATTGGTTGCTGGCGGCACTCTAGGTAATCATGCTCTCAATACAGGCCTATATACTCCAGGGCAAGTTACCTGTTGATGCATGAAAATAAAAATATGCATGTTAATGCATATAATTCTCATATAATTATAAGAATTAGTTGCATAATTCTCTTAGGGCCACCAAACTTGCTACTGAACATTGTTTTAATTGCCATTATTAGCTTGCAAATGATGTATCTTAATAGTCATTTTAAGTAATCATATAAATCCTAAAGCTTTATATAACACAAATAAAACATAAACATGTAATTAACCTGAATGTTATAACATTTGAAAAGTTATAAATTTTGCCAAATTAAAGGTATCTTCATTTAAATAAACCTAATAAGAACAGATAATTATTGTCTGGTTATATCACTTGAAACACCTATACACTACATTGTCTGAACTTGTTTAACAAATAAGAAACTATCATATATATATATATATATATAACAACTATATATATATATATATATATATATATATATATATATATATATATATATATGAGTTTTCAGTTGCATATTGTCCTGGGGACCATTCAGGCTTGTTCGCATACGCATATATATATATATATATATATATATATATATATATATATATATATATATATATATATATATATATATATATATATATATATATATATATGCAGTATTCAAATTTGATACATTCAATTAGATTTTTCCTGCATACTACTGGTAATTTTGATCTCTAATTTGGGTTCAATACTGATGGCTATGCATTTCATCAAATTATTTTGTATTTTACTATATATATATATATATATATATATATATATATATATATATATATATATATATTGTATATTTACCTCTAACTTTTACCGTTCATAAACAAAATTTAGATTTTAAACCTATGAAACACCAATTCTTAAATTATTATACAAAACGTGGCCAAACCCAGCATAAACATACAGGACCAACACTGGAACCCCTACTATCACACATCAGAATTTAACTATAGACCATCTCTATAGTTAAATTCTGGACTTCGTGTTGCATTCCGCAAGCCTCTTCTGTTCTGGGTCGTTGCCCCATTTGCGCGTTGACTGTAATGTTTGATGTAATTACCTAAGTGTAATAGGTAATTACACTTAGATAATCACATTAAACATTACAGTCGAAGCACAAATGGTGCAACGACCCAGAATAGAGAAGGCCTGCGGAATGCTGCGCAAAGTCCAGAACTTAACTATAGAGATGGTTTGAGAAAAGTCCACTAAACTGGAATGCAAGAAACTGTAGGATAATGATGGGTTGGAAACAAGGTGGGGAGGCCACTGAAGTGATACAAGGTGAATAAAAGAAAATGCTTGAGTTGAAAATGAAAATGGTGGTATGGGATTAGGGAGTGACATCAACAAAGCACAATATTAGACTACAGATTCAATCTGCCCTCTCGAATAATACACCGTATTTTGATGGTACTTGCAGATGAGACAACAGTTATGAGGAAGATTCACATGATGAAAGTTTTCAAAAGAAACTGGCAGAAGACCCGACTGATACTCAAATTCCGCAAGCACACCCATGGTAGTATAGCTAGGTAAGTACACACACACACACACACACACACACACACACACACACACACACACACACACACACACACACACACACACACACACACGTTAGAAGGAACTTTTTCAGTGTCAGAATAGTTAACAGATGGAATGCATTAGGCAGTAATGTGGTGGAGGCTGACTCCATACACAGTTTCAAATGTAGATATGATAGAGCCCAATAGGCTCAGGAATCTGCACACCAGTTGATTGACAGTTGAGATACGGGACCAAAGAGCCAAAGCTCAACCCCCGCAAGCACAAAGAGGTGAGTACACACACACACACACACACACACACACACACACACACACACACACACACACACGTACGTGTGCACAGAGGCCAAGTAAACAAAGGCATTAACCTTGAAAGTGAAGGTCTCGTTGAAGACAGGGTTTAGTGTCTTGCGATGCACTTTTGTCTCAAACTTCTTCTTCTTGTCCGGCAATAAATACACCTGTAATATAATTAGCCGTATTATTTGTCTTGAAGGGAACATTTTTAACAATAGCAAATGAGAAAATCAGTTGAAGCCATGCCGAGGATTCGAACCCGGCACTCTAGGTACTCCCAAGCACACACACATTTAAATCATTGCATCACAACAAATGACAAATAATATGCCAATTTACTCCACCAAACATGCAATACAATTTTTTAATTGACCCATCTTCAGGTATTTTATATATACAGGTATATTATATATATATATATATATATATATATATATATATATATATATATATATATATATATATATATATATATATATATATAAAATATAATATGCGATGCTTTTCTCTAAAGTAAACCTTAGCGTCATTAGACTCAGATTGGACAGCAGATAAAAATGGGCAAAGACAGAATTATATTCCATTTGAGTAACATGAGAAGTGAGAGGGGGGGGTGTTGCCCTGACAAGGGGGGACTTAATAATCTTGTGCTGCATTCTCACTGCTCATCTGCTCATAGTTTCTCCTAGACTTCGAAGGTGTGGCATTGTTAGGATTAAGGTATCTTGTAGGATTAAGTCCTACAGACGTTAAGTGTAGCGTGTTTTGAGCAGATGCTCTTTTTGTTTATAACATTGTAAATAGTAAGTTATGTAACATATACCTGTGACGTCATTGTTGTTGTTGCTTGAGAATAAACTATGAGTGGACGGAGATTGTTTCTCTTCCGACCTAAACGTAACAAGCATTCTGGAGAAATCCATTTGTAAACACACAATCATGACAAAAATAATGGGGGAAGGGGGCATTAAAAGATGGGTCGACTATGATAGCACTGACCTTGACATAGGGGTCACTGGTGCCACCCATGTCCAGGGCAGGTAGTTCCTCACACTGAATCGCCGTTACACTCAGACTGTTGGAGTTGAAGTCGTACTCGAGCTACAAGAGAATAACAAACGTGGAACAGCTGTGTATAATTTAACATAATATGGTGATCGTCTATCAAACTAGACTCAAATATATAACATAAGCAATCGACTTGAGAATGGTCCAGGACGGACCGAAACGTCGTCGTCCCTTCACCTTCTAGTGTGTGGTCTGGTCAACATACTTTAGCCACGTTATTGTGACTCATCGCCTGCATAACATAAGCAACTTGTGTTATGTTCTTAAAAGAATAATGATACATTGCAGTAAATGAATAAAACAAACATTAAGCAATAACAACGTATTGGTCTATGTATAATGGATAATTTATCATTATATCTGATGAATAAGAATGTTATGTAAGAAAAGTTATTCAAAGAACGTGAAGGCTACACGTGCAGGAGCGTTCTGGAGTATGGGTTACAAGAAGACCAGAGATAAGAACACGTGGTGAAGTCTAAGAACACATGATGGAGTTCCTAATGTGGATACATCGTGTCCCATCCTATGGGACACGATGTAAGACATACCAGTCCCGGTGTGAACGTGACGTATTGAAAAATAAAGATAACGAATGAAACAAAAGTTTGTGGTTGATCACTTTGATCAGTAATTAAACAGCAGATACAGGAAGTAGAGACAGTACACGAGAGAAGTAGGAGGGAGGGCGGTAAGTAGCGGAAGTAGAGACAGTACTCGAGTAAAACAAGAATGATGGTTGTGGGGACGGGGGATTAATAGGGAAGTGAAGGCATTGATAGGACACAAGGTGGCGCTCTGAGCTACAATACTGTAGATTAGATGTTTACCTTGAAGTTTAGACGACCTAGCTTCTCTTCACTTTTCTTGCTCTCTCCTTCCTCGGCGATGTCTTCAGCATTCTCTGTTAGCTCCTCCATGTCGGCCTGCCGATCGACAATATTTACTGAACTATATACTAGTAACTAGAGGTTCGTACGTTAATGGAAACTGGAGCCTCTAGTGACTAACATTACTGTGTGAACAAGGTGCTGGAAGTAGAGTTCTCAAGCACCTATGAACATCATATGAGTAGACTCATTAATCAGCTTTAAACCTCAACTTCTTGTATACACTCGGTTATAACTCAAAATTATATATATATATATATATATATATATGTCGTACCTAATAGCCAGAACGCACTTCTCAGCCTACTATACAAGGCCCGACTTGCCTAATAAGCCAAGTTTTCATGAATTAATATATTTTCTCTATTTTTATTCTTAAGAAATGATAAAGCTACTCTTTTCATTATGTATGAGGTCAATTTTTTTTATTGGAGTTAAAATTAACGTAGATATATGACCGAACCTAACCAACCCTACCTAACCTAACCTAACCTATCTTTATAGGTTAGGTTAGGTTAGGTGGCCGAAAAAGTTAGGTTAGGTTAGGTTAGGTAGGTTAGGTAGTCGAAAAACAATTAATTCATGAAAACTTGGCTTATTAGGCAAATTGGGCCTTGCTTAGTAGGCTGAGAAGTGCGTTCTGGCTACTAGGTACGACATATATATATATATATATATATATATATATATATATATATATATATATATATATATATATATATGTCGTACCTAGTAGCCAGAACGCACTTCTCAGCCTACTATGCAAGGCCCAATTTGCCTAATAAGCCAAGTTTTCATGAATTAATTGTTTTTCGACTACCTAACCTACCTAACCTAACCTAACCTAACTTTTTCGGCTACCTAACCTAACCTAACCTATAAAGATAGGTTAGGTTAGGTTAGGTAGGGTTGGCTAGGTTCGGTCATATATCTATGTTAATTTTAACTCCAATAAAAAAAATTTACCTCACACATAATGAAATGGGTAGCTTTATCATTTCATCAGAAAAAAATTAGAGAAAATATATTAATTCAGGAAAACTTGGCTTATTAGGCAAATCGGGCCCTGCATAGTAGGCCGAGAGGTGCATTCTGGCTACTAGGTACGACATATATATATATATATATATATATATATATATATATATATATATATATATATATATATATATATATATATATATATATATATATATATATATATATATATATATATATATGTATATATATATATATATATATATATATATATATATATATATATATATATATATATATATATATATATATATATATATATATATATATATATATATATATATATATATACACGTAACGGTGGGTCTAACCTTGTCTTTGTAAGCCGAGCCCAAGAGCTGGACACTCTTCATGTCGGCGCCCTTTCCATCCTTGCCCTTCTTGGTGCGTCTCTTCTTGAAGCATCGTCGGATACAGCAGAAACAGATGGCAAGGATGACGATGCCTACACCTGTTACAGACAAGCACGGTTAGTTACCGCCTTACACACCTGTTGCAGACACACCTGGTTGCTGTTAAATTGCACCTGCTACAGACACACGTATTAACTGCCAATATAAACCTGTGCCTCACTCACCCTGCACTTACAAGAGTTGATTGTATGCAGTTGTGGCTTAAGCAGTTGTAACTAAGGGTAGTGTTGTTGTTCCGAAGGTGTTAAACTCTAGGGTCGGTGCCCACCAGGTTTCATTTACTGAGAGTGGTGGCCCGTTCTTAAGGCTCCTGCGAGACACATCCGTGAGACACAATGCGACACCAGTTCTACCCATTCCAGTGACACCTGAGTCACATTCCACCGATTCCAGCGACACCTGAGTCACATTCCATCCATTCCAGCGACACCTGAGTCACATTCCATCCATTCCAGTGACACCTGAGTCACATTCCATCCATTCCAGCGACACCTGAGTCACATTCCACCCATTCCAGCGACACCTGAGTCACATTCCATCCATTCCAGCGACACCTGAGTCACATTCCATCCATTCCAATGACCCAAGACTCACGTTCAGACATATAACAACAATCCCATACACACTGTTTTCTTTCCAGACCCATTCCAGCTCATCCAGCTTCATCCCCTCGTGTCATCCAGCTTCACCCGTCGTGTCATCCAGCTTCACCCCTCGTGTCGGAAAGCCGACACTAACATAATAACCGCCATAAGATGTTGTTAATTTACTTCAGTTATACAGTAAAGGAATTACAGAAAATGGGATATCCCATGACCTAACAACATATTTATTTAACAACACACGTATATCTTAAAACACCAGTCTAGATATTAGAATGAATAAAAAAGTGTTCTTTATGACTGGATCTAATATAATTATCAATAAAACTACAGTCTACCTCCCTGAGTCAATATAAAAATAGAAATTGGAACCATATATTCTGAGACATAGCTGACTCCAGAGTAGATTGTAAACAAAACAGAGAGGGGCTCCTCGTGTGTTATTTTTAATGACGCACATCACTTCAAAGACTCAAAATTAAAAGTCTACCAACAGTGAAACTGCCCCAGCAACCTCACTAACAACGGGAGTACCTTTATATTCGTTGTGAATACTTATCTATGTTTAGAAGGCCTGATAATATTAGATTCATTTTAGTTACGCACAGAGGCAACAGCCCCCAATATGGGTAAGCTTAGTTTACCCATTATAACTGCCCAAATTTCATGTGTCACACTTATACTTTACATGTTATTGTCAGTTTTTTTGCGGTGTAACTTGTTGGCAGGTAAATCGTGATCCCATGAGAAATTTGGTGAAGTGAAGAAATCCCGACTGCCGAAGCAGGCCATAACAACTTTAACAGATAAGAGCTTACAGCTATACTAACCCAGTTTTACAATATAACATTTTATAAAACTAACACACAATAATTTTATAGTTTATTCGAATTATCAATTACTTGATTAATAGACTATGTAATATAACCCCCTCCCCCCTCCCAACTATATGTACAAGTAAACACCTAGCAGGATAAACTTTTAAAGTACAGTCTACTTTTTAAAGTAATAAGATAATAAAATAAATGAAAAGTAAATTAAAATATATAAAAAATCAATTTTTAAACATTTAAATTAAAAACAAATCCTTGCCTGATAGCAAAATACCCCACACCTCGTGTCATCCAGCGTCACCCCTCGTGTCACCCAGGTTACAGCCATCTGAGCCACACCCCCACCCCATCTATATTCCAGCCCTCTGAGTCACACCCCACATTCCAGCCCTCTGAGTCACACCCTTTCCACATTCCAGCCCTCTGAGTCACCCTTTCCACATTCTAGCCCTCCAAACCACATCTACATTAATGCCGTACTTACCCCCCCCACACCCCCCCCCCCTCCCCCAAGCCCCAACCAAATTGAACTTACCCACAAGGATGGCAATGAGGCCCTCCACCGGCATACCCATCTTCTGGGCCACTATGCCCGCGGTCTCCATGAACTCCTCTTGGAACTTCTCCCCCGAGGACATGGTGGTGGAAGCCGGGGGCACCTCCTCCGCCTCGGGCACAGCTGTCGGGGGCATCAAGAGTGTCAGTAGGGCACTTTATACCCCCCCCCCTCTGTCGGGCACGGAGCAAGGCGTGAGGGTGTGTGTGTCAGGAGACAGGGAAGGTGCGGGGGAGGAAGAGTCGTGTGTGTCAGTGTAAAGATGATATTAGTGGAGGGCAGAGGGGGGTAGGGGAAGTTTAGAGTAAGCTGAGGGTGGTAGGGAGACTATAAGAGTCGACAGGGGGAAGTATATAGTCACCCTGGGTGGCAGAAGGCAGGGGACTATAGAGTTAGCAGCGGTGGTAATGAACTATAGAGTCAGCAAGAGTGGAACGGGGACAGTAGAGTCGGAAGGGATATGGGAGTATCGAGTTTGCAGGAATGGAAATATAGAGTCAGCAGGGGGGGGGAGAATCATCGAGTGAGCAGGGGTAGAAGTATAGAGTCAGAAGGGGCTTGGAGAGGAACTATAGAGTCAGCAGGGGTGGCCACATTGTGACCTACACACATGATGGCCAATATAAACATACTGAGCATTAACACATGTGAATGATATATAAAGATGAGTATAAGTGAGTGCAATAAAACAAACACACACACACACCAAGGACCATGCATATAAGACCAACAAACATATTTAAACAAAGAAAAAAGAGGACAAGCATAGCATACAAAGAGTCAAAGAAATACGAGTTAAAGAATAAAGCACAATAATACAAAAATACAGTATGATAAAACTATAATTATTATGACTAAGAAAAAGGCGTTACAGTCGAGGGAGGCAGCAAGATGAGTGGCAGTGTGTGTGGCGCCGCGAGGCACTCTGCTCCTGCACGCTCCGACCTGGCACCAAGCTTTGCTAGCTTCCAACACCCGCAACTACACCCACCTGCCTGGTCCCTACACCCACACCACCTGCCTCTCCACACCCACCTGCCTGGTCCCTACACCCACACCACCTGCCTCTCCACACCCACCTGCCTGGTCCCTACACCCACACCACCTGCCTCTCCACACCCACCTGCCTGGTCCCTACACCCACACCACCTGCCTCTCCACACCCACCTGCCTGGTCCCTACACCCACACCACCTGCCTCTCCACACCCACCTGCCTGGTCCCTACACCCACACCACCTGCCTCTCCACACCCACCTGCCTGGTCCCTACACCCACACCACCTGCCTCTCCACACCCACCTGCCTGGTCCCTACACCCACACCACCTGCCTCTCCACACCCACCTGCCTGGTCCTTACACCCACACCACCTGCCTCTCCACACCCACCTGCCTGGTCCCTACACCCACACCACCTGCCTCCCAACACCCACCTGCCTGGTCCCTACACCCACACCACCTGCCTCTTCACACCCACCTGCCTGGTCCCTACACCCACACCACCTGCCTCCCAACACCCACCTGCCTGGTCCCTACACCCACACCACCTGCCTCCCAACACCCACCTGCCTGGTCCCTACACCCACACCACCTACCTCTCCACACCCACCTGCCTGGCCCCCACACCCACACCACCTGCCTGGTCCCTACACCCACACCACCTGCCTCTCCACACCCACCTGCCTGGACCCTACACCCACACCACCTGCTTCTCCACACCCACCTGCCTGGACCCTACACCCACACCACCTGCTTCTCCACACCCACCTGCCTGGACCCTACACCCACACCACCTGCTTCTCCACACCCACCTGCCTGGACCCCACACCCACACCACCTGCCTGGCCCCCACACCCTCACCACCTGCCTGGCCCCCACACCCTCACCACCTGCCTGGCCCCCACACCCTCACCACCTGCCTGGCCCCCACACCCACACCACCTGCCTGGCCCCCACACCCTCACCACCTGCCTGGCCCCACACCCTCACCACCTGCCTGGCCCCACACCCACACCACCTGCCTGGCCCTCACACCCTCACCACCTACCTGGCCCCCACACCCTCACCACCTGCCTGGCCCCCACACCCACACCACCTGCCTCCCTACACCCACACCACCTGCCTCCCAACACCCACCTGCCTGGTCCCTACACCCACACCACCTGCCTCTCCACACCCACCTGCCTGGCTCTTACACCCACACCACCTGCCTGGCCCCCACACCCACACCACCTGCCTCCCCACACCCTCACCACCTGCCTGGCCCCCACACCCACACCACCTGCCTGGCCCCCACACCCACACCACCTGCCTGGCCCCCACACCCACACCACCTGCCTGGCCCTCACACCCACACCTGCCTGGCCCCCACACCCACACCACCTGCCTGGCCCCCACACCCACACCACCTGCCTGGCCCACACACCCACACCACCTGCCTGGCCCTCACACCCACACCACCTGCCTGGCCCCCACACCCACACCACCTGCCTGGCCCCCACACCCACACCACCTGCCAGGCCCCCACACCCACACCACCTGCCTGGCCCCCACACCCACACCACCTGCCCGGCCCCCACACCCACACCACCTGCCTCCCCATACCCTCACCACCTGCCTGGCCCCCACACCCACACATCTGCCTCCACTAACCAGGGTTGTAGTGATAATCATGCCCAAAATGCTCTTAAAGATTTCAAAAGTTCAAACCTTTTAAGATTTAGATTTTCACGTCCAAATTGTCTTTGTGTTTCTGATCTTGAAACTTAGAAGATTCTAATGATGAGGTTCTTGGCGCTCCTGAGCCTAAGTTCAACGAACTTAGTAGTGCATTACATCCTTAATCTTCCTTTCTTTAAGTTCCCAATCGTATTTAATCCACATATCTTTATGCTCCAGTCCTGAAGGCTCTTGTGTGTTCTTAAAAGTACTTAACATGAAGTTTTGAAACATCAAAACTTTAAATCTTAAAACTTCCAGAATCTTCCATTTCGAAACTTGACGTTCCAGAATCTTCCAGTTCGGAACTTGACGTTCCAAAATCCATTCATACTTCGAATATTAAAGAACTTAAAAGAGTATTAATCTTCGTGTAATAAAGCTTCAGATATTGAAGTTCCAGACGTTAGTTTCAGATATTAAAGCTTCATATATTAAAGTTATATATGTTAAGAGCTTCAGATATTCAAACTCCAGATGTTTAGGCTACAGAACCCAATGGGCAGAACAAAAAGCTTCAGTTTCTAAGCGTTTATGTAACGAAGCTTCAGCTTTTCAAATTGAAACTGATGTAGAAACTTCATATTTTGAAACTTCCGATGATCTTCAAGTTTCAGCTGTCCAAAATATCTTAATTTCCAACATACTTGAACATATATATATATATATATATATATATATATATATATATATATATATATATATATATATATATATATATATATATATATATACAAGACTTTGCAGCATCGACAGCATGCATGCTGAATCGTTTCATGAAGGAGACAACTGCGAGTTAAACAAGCCAATTGGCACGCAATCAGTACAATCACACACACACCGCACGCAAGAGCCAAGTGGCGCTCAGATCAACACACACATAAGAGTAGAGAGCGCTGGGATGGTGAGAGCGGCCAGTAACGAGCGCTGAGCAACGGGTGCTAGAGGCGCTCAGCGCTCACGTCCAAGGCTAGTGAGCGCTGGAGCCACAGATACTCATCTCGTGCCTGGCCACCAGCCTCCTCCACCACCACACGCAAGATGCTGAGATCTGGCACAAGAGCGAGCAGGGAGTAAAATGAGTGAGTGTGTGTGTGTGTGTGTGTGTGTGAGGGAGGGAGGGACGCCTCTCTCTCTCCCTCGTTACTCACCGCTCGCCAGCGTCACCGCCTCCGTCAGTTCTTACAGAAAAAATAAAGAGAAAATAAGTAAGTTTATACGTAGAATAATCACCAACCATACAGACATGAAAATCCACATAAACACACACACACACACACACACACACACACACACACACACACACACACACACACACACACACACACACACACACACACACACACACACACATACACACACAAGATGTAACAAGTTTCACGTAGTTCAATAACAAGATAACAGCTACCCATCAAAGAGAAGGCTGGGGTGACTGCATGTTCCTAAACTGGCAGAAAGTCTTCGGCACTTCCCTCCCACATTTGTGACTCAATGTGTACGCGCAGCCGGTTCACAGCCACTTGGTCCCGGGTTCGATTCCCGGGCAGCGCGAGACATTTGGGAACCTTTCTTTACACCTGATGCATCTGTTCACCTAGCAATATGCTCGATCCGGCAAACTCAACAAGGTGAGTACACACACACACACACACACATTCAATGCTCGATCCTGCAGACACAAATAGGTGAGCACACACACACACACGCACATATATGTATGTGTATACTATATACATACACATATATGTCCATATAAAGCTCCATAAACCATACGTCGCTTTATCGGGTCCAAATTCAGACGGGGAAGGGGGGGGGGAGGATATTTTTGTCCTGGTGAAATTTAGATTTCTTATATATTAGTGAGAAGTTTTTAGTCTCGTGTGAGATTCACAGAGAAGGTTGACGCACACAAGCCAGAGGGATCCATCACAGTCTTCTTGACCCAGTGTCTGATCATCCAGGAAGAGGAGGAGGACGTACGGTGTATGAGCATGACCCACTATACGTGTGTTGTACATGTTCTATACGTGTACCATGTGTGTATTATTACACATACCGGTACCATACACGTATTATACATGTTCTATACATGTATTATACATGTTTTATACACGTACTATACACGTATTATGCATGTTTTGTACACGTACCATACACGTATTATGCATGTTTTATACACGTACCATACATGTATTATGCATGTTTTATACACGTACCATATGCATACCATACACATACACATACTATACATGTATACTATACACGTATGGTACATGTGATATACATGTACTATACACATACTATACATGTAATATACCTGTATATACTATATGCAACACTGATAATCGTTTCAGTCACGGAAATCACATAATAATAATAATAATAATAATAATAAATGAAACACAAACAAACAAATACAGAACAAGAAACAAGTGTGGTCACTACAAAAAATAGAATATACAAAATACTGGTGCTATAGGTAACAGGTGAACACAGGTGAGTCAATTAGTAAATGAGAGATGTGCAGGTGAACACAGGTGGATTAATTATTACAGATGAACACAGGTGAATCAATTAGTAAATGAGAGATGTGCAGGTGAACACAGGTGGATTAATTATTACAGGTGAACACAGGTGAATCAATTAGTAAATGAGAGATGTGCAGGTGAACACAGGTGGATTAATTATTACAGGTGAACACGGGTGAATCAATTAGTAAATGAGAGATGTGCAGGTGAACACAGGTGGATTAGCACATGAGAGATGAACAGGTGAACACAGGTGAACCTGGACTACCTGAATCTAGTTATATTAATAAATCGTTCTATGTTTTTGGTTCGTGTCTGTTTGGATGCTATTTGTTTATGTTTGTATGTGTTTGTGGCTCTTTGTGACTCATGTCTGTGTCTATGGCTGTCTCTGACTCATGTCTGTGTCAATCGCCGCCTCTGACTCATGTCTGTGTCTATGGCTGTCACTGACTCATGTCTGTGTCTATCGCCGCCTCTGACTCATGTATGTGTCTATCGCCGCCTCTGACTCATGTATGTGTCTATCGCCGCCTCTGACTCATGTATGTGTCTATCGCCGCCTCTGACTCACGAATAAGTTTGAGGAATGAGACGTGGAAGCGTTGTGTTAGCAAGTTCAGTTAAGCCATTAGATATGTGATTTCGAAAGCTTTGTGAGAGGCTGTAAGCTTAGAGGTGGTAAGCTTAGCGGTGAGTGGACTGATACTGCCACTGGGGTTAATACTTGAGGTGTGACTAGCTGCTGAATTATGCCTTGTACTTGAGTGTGTTGTGTTTGTTGAGTGTGTGTTGTGGTTGTGGAGTGTGTGCTGCTTCTCTGCAACATGGAAACATTAGAGTGTTCACTATCATATTGAACACTAAACTAATATTTAATGTTCTACTTCGCCAGAGCCTAGAGTTAAAATACATGTCAATAATATATACAAAGATTGAATAAATAATGCAAGAAGTAATGAAGGTGTGAAAAAGAACACAGTGTTCTTGTCAAGAAGGAAGCAACAGGTAGTGAAGGTGTGAACAAGAACACAGTGTTCTTGTCAAGAAGGAAGCAACAGGTAGTGAAGGTGTGAACAAGAACACAGTGTTCTTGTCAAGAAGGAAGCAACAGGTAGTGAAGGTGTGAAAAAGAACACAGTGTTCTTGTCAAGAAGGAAGCAACAGGTAGTGAAGGTGTGAACAAGAACACAGTGTTCTTGTCAAGAAGGAAGCAACAGGTAGTGAAGGTGTGAACAAGAACACAGTGTTCTTGTTAAGAAGGAAGCAACAGGTAGTGAAGGCGTGAACAAAAACACAGTGTTCTTGTCAAGAAGGAAGCAAGAGGTAGTGAAGCCGTGAACAAGAACACAGTGTTCTTGTCAAGAAGGAAGCAAGAGGTAGTGAAGCCGTGAACAAGAACACAGTGTTCTTGTCAAGAAGGAAGCAACAGGTAGTGAAGGCGTGAACAAGAACACAGTGTTCTTGTCAAGAAGGAAGCAACAGGTAGTGAAGGCGTGAACAAGAACACAGTGTTCTTGTCAAGAAGGAAGCAAGAGGTAGTGAAGCCGTGAACAAGAACACAGTGTTCTTGTCAAGAAGGAAGCAAGAGGTAGTGAAGGCGTGAACAAGAACACAGTGATGTTGTCAACAATGAAGCAAGAGGTAGTGAAGCCGTGAACAAGAACACAGTGTTCTTGTCAACAATGAAGCAAGAGGTAGTGAAGCCGTGAACAAGAACACAGTGTTCTTGTCAACAATGAAGCAAGCGACAAGGAGCACAACTAAACACAATCTACTTACCAACTCCCTCCGTGATGTTCTCTAAAACAATGAAAACAAGAAACAAACAAATTAAAAGTGTGCATTGGTGCATCTATTGTGCAGGACACGTAACTACGACCACTGGTTACTACGACCACTAGCTGCAACGACCACTGGTTACTACGACCACTGGTTACTACAACCACTGGTTACTACGACCACTAGCTGCAACGACCACTGGTTACTACGACCACTGGTTACTACGACCACTGGCTGCAACGACTACTGGTTACTACGACCACTGGCTGCAACGGCCACTGGTTACTACGACCACTGGCTGCAACGACCACTGGTTACTACGACCACTGGTTACTATGACCACTGGTTACTACGACCACTGGTTACTACGACCACTGCCTGCAACGACCACTGGTTAGTAGGACCACTGGCTGCAACGACCACTGGCTGTAATGACCACTGGTTACTACGACCACTGGCTACAACGACCACTGGTTAGTAGGACCACTGGTTACTACGACCACTGGCTGCAACGACCACTGGTTAGTAGGACCACTGGTTACTACGACCACTAGCTGCAACGACCACTGGTTACTACGACCACTGGTTGTAACGACCACTGGTTACTACGACCACTGGTTGTAACGACCACTGGTTACTACGACCACAGGTAACTACGACCACTGGCTGTAATGACCACTGTTTACTACGACCACTGGTTACTACGACCACTGGTTACTACGACCACTGGCTGTAACGACCACTGGTTACTACGACCACTGGCTGCAACGACCACTGGCTGTAACGACCACTGGTTACTACGACCACTGGCTGTAACGACCACTGGTTACTATGACCTCTGGTTACTACGACCACTGGTTGCAACGACCACTGGTTGCAACGACCACTGGTTACTACGACCCACTGGTTACTACGACCACTGGTTACGACCACGACCACTGGCTGTAACGACCACTGGTTACTACGACCACTGGCGACCACTACGACCACGACCACTGGTTACTACGACCACACACTGGTAACGACACACCACTGGCACTAATGACCACTGGCTGTAACCACCACTGGTTACTACGACCACACTGTAACCACACACACTACTGGTGCTCCACCACCACCACCACACTGGTGCTCCACCACCTGCTCCACCACACACTGTCACCACCACACTGGTGACCACTGGTTGGGCTCCACACACCACCACACTGGTGACACACCACCACACTGGTGCTACGACACCACCACCACACTGGTGACACACACACGACACACTGGCTGTACACGACACACTGGTAACACGACACACACCACGACCACACTGGTGTAACGACCACACTACGACACACTGGGCTCCACCACCACCACACACACACCACCACACTGGTGCTCCACCACCACCACCACACTGGTGCTCCACACCACCACCACACTGGTGCTACGACACACAGCTGTGCACCACCACACTGGTGCTCCACCACCACACTGGTGCTCCACCACCACCACACTGGTGCTCCACACACCACCACACTGGTGCTCCACCACCACCACACTGGTGCTCCACCACCACCACACTGGTGCACCACCACCACACTGGTGCTCCACCACCACCACACTGGTCCACCACCACCACCACACTGGTGCTCCACCACCTCCACACTGGTGACACACCACCACCACACTGGTGACACACACCATCCACACACACACACACCACCACACTGGTGCACCACCACCACACTGGTGACACACACACACCACCACACTGGTGCTCCACACCACCACCACCACACTGGTGACACACACACCACCACACTGGTGACACACACACCACCACACTGGTGACTCCACACACCACCACACCACCACCACCACACTGGTGCTCCACCACCACCACACTGGTGACACACACACCACCACACTCCACACACCACCACCACACTGGTCCACCACACACACCTCCACACCACACTGGTGCTCCACCACCACACTGGTGCTCCACACACCACCACCACACTGGTGCTCCACCACCACCACCACACTGGTGCTCCACCACCACCACACTGGTGCTCCACACACACACCACCACACACCACACCACCACCACACTGGTGCTCCACACACCACCACACTGGTGCTCCACCACCACCACACTGGTGCTCCACCACCACCACCACCACACTGGTGCTCCACCACCACCACACTGCTGATTCCACCACCACCACCACACTGGTGCTCCACCACCACACTGGTGCTCCACCACCACCACACTGGTGCTCCACCACCACCACACTGGTGCTCCACCACCACCACACTGGTGCTCCACCACCACCACACTGGTGCTCCACCACCACCACACTGGTGCACCACCACCACCACACTGGTGCTCCACCACCACCACACTGGTGACACCACCACCACCACACTGGTGCTCCACTCCACCACCACCACACTGGTGCTCCACACACACACCTCCACACTGGTGACACACCACCACCACACTGGTGCTCCACCACCACCACACTGGTGCTCCACCACCACCACCACACTGGTGCTCCACCACCACCACCACACTGGTGCTCCACCACCACCACACTGGTGCTCCACCACCACACTGGTGCTCCACCACCACCACACTGGTGCACCACCACCACCACACTGGTGACACCACACACCACCACACCACCACCACCACCACACTGGTGCTCCACACCACCACCACACTGGTGCTCCACCACCACCACACTGGTGCTCACACCACCACCACACTGGTGCTCCACCACCACCACCACACTGGTGACACACACACCACCACCACACTGGTCCACCACCACCACCACACTGGTGCACACCACCACCACACTGGTGCACACACCACCACCACACTGGTGCTCCACACCACCACCACACTGGTGACACACACACCACCACACTGGTGCTCCACCACCACCACCACTGGTGCTCCACCACCACCACACTGGTGCTCCACCACCACCACACTGGTGCTCCACCACCACCACCACACTGGTGCTCCACCACCACACTGGTGCTCCACCACCACCACACTGGTGCTCCACCACCACCACCACCACACTGGTGCTCCACCACCACCACCACACTGGTGCTCCACCACCACCACCACACTGGTGCTCCACCACCACCACCACACTGGTGCTCCACCACCACCACCACACTGGTGCTCCACACCACCACCACACTGGTGCTCCACCACCACCACACACCACCACCACACTGGTGCTCCACCACCACCACCACTGGTGCTCCACCACCACCACCACACTGGTGCTCCACCACCACCACCACACTGGTGACCACACACCACCACACTGGTGCTCCACACCACCACCACACTGGTGCTCCACACCACCACCACACTGGTGACCACCACCACCACACTGGTGCACCACCACCACACTGGTGACACACACACACCACCACACTGGTGCTCCACCACCACCACCACACTGGTGCCACCACCACACACCACCACCACACTGGTGACACACCTCACACCACACACCACCACCACCACACTGGTGCACCACCACCACACTGGTGCTCCACCACCACCACACTGGTGACACACACACCACCACCACCACCACCACACTGGTGCTCCACACCACCACCACACTGGTGCTCCACACCACCACCACACTGGTGACACACCACCACCACACTGGTGCACACACCACCACCACACTGGTGCTCCACACACACACCACCACACTGGTGACACCACCACCACCACACTGGTGCTCCACCACCACCACACTGGTGCTCCACACCACCACCACACTGGTGCTCCACCACCACCACCACACTGGTGACCACACACCACCACACACACACCACCACACTGGTGCTCCACCACACCACCACACTGGTGCTCCACCACCACCACCACACTGGTGCACACACCACCACCACACTGGTGACACACACACCACCACACTGGTGCTCCACCACACCACCACACTGGTGCTCCACACACACACCACCACACTGGTGCTCCACACCACCACCACACTGGTGACACACACACCACCACACTGGTGCTCCACCACCACCACCACACTGGTGACACACACACCACCACACTGGTGACACACACCACCACCACACACACCACCACCACCACACTGGTGACACACACACCACCACACTGGTGACACACACACCACCACACTGGTGCGGTGGTCCACACCACCACCACACTGGTGACACACACACCACCACACTGGTGACACACACACCACCACACTGGTGCTCCACACACCACCACACTGGTGCTCCACCACCACCACACACACCACCCACACTGGTGCTCCACACACCACCACACTGTGACACACACACCACCACACTGGTGCACCACCACCACCACACACACACCACCACACTGGTGACACACACCACCACCACACTGGTGACACACCACCACACTGGTGCTCCACCACAGTGGTGCTCCTCCATACTAAGGAACCTAAACTAGTGATCCAGGTAATAATTTATTGCTTTCTAATGTACAATAAACTAGTGATATATACAGGCTGAGCGGTAGTCATCAGGAAGTGTACCGCCCTGCACTATCCTTTCCAGTAGTACCCAGCGGTACACAGGATGGTACAGAAGGGTTCAGTGTGGTACACAGGGGTGTAGGGTGGTACAGAGGGGTGTAGGGTGGTACAGAGGGGTGTAGGGTGGTACAGAGAGGTGTAGGGTGGTACAGAGGGGTGTAGGGTGGTACAGACGGATCTAGGGTGGTAAAGAGGGGTGTAGGGTGGTACAGAGGGGTGTAGGATGGTACAGAGGGCTGTAAGGACGGTACAGAGGGCTGTAAGGACGGTACAGAGGGGTGTAGGGTGGTACACAGGGGTGTAGGGTGGTACACAGGGGTGGGGTGGTACACAGGGTGGTACACAGGGGTGGGGTGGTACACAGGGTGGTACACAGGGGTGTAGGGTGGTACAGAGGGCTGTAGGGACGGTACAGAGGGGTGT